CTAACCCCTCATAAGCCCTTGTGAAAATCAGATTGGATAATTCAGTTACAATTCCATAAACTTTTATATGCACTGATAATGTTCCAGCCACTGGCTAATGTATGTAAAAATTGCTTCACAAACTGTTAACCACCATAAAAACTGAGAGCAAACGATTTATTTCAGATAGTACGGCTAATTGACCAAATATTTATAAGAACCAGCTTCCATTTATAAGAAGGAACCTTCCAGAGAACATCAAGACTCATTACAAATAAGCAGTCATGGTTATTTTATTAAGTGCTAGATTTTCACAATACAGAATTACAATGTTCAAAAGTACACACATAACAACTCCCTCCAAATCCTTCCAGAAAGCCAGCAAGCAGCGTGAAGAAACTTTAGGAGCTGGGAGAGACGGTACCTGTCACAAGGCCTGTGATGGGAGGGAGGCGAGGGAGAGAGAAGGAGAGAAGGCCATGAGTCACCATCTGAAGAGCATGGGACAGGCATCCTTTCTCAGGGGAGCCATCCTACCACTTTCACTCTTTGACTCATCCGTACTGTGACCTCTCGGCGTGCAGATGTTTAAAGATGTTGTAAGTGTTCTGCTATTCCATCAGATGACGTCTCTCTGAGCACCGGCCACCTCCGACTGCAGTCCTGGGGTAGCAACGCCTTACATCTCCCCGAGCACTCCCCGTGTACTGACACTAGCAGGCAGGTCTCCTTAGCTGAGATTTGTACTGGAGCCAACTGGCCTGACAGCTTCATGTGAGAGCTTCTTCTTGGGTTGTAGGAAATGGGCTATGGCGTGTGTCCTAATGATCCTACGAGGCTGTGACTGGTGCATATTTCAACCTCATCTCCCAGAGCAGTGTGACTCAACAGATCAATGAGCCAGCTCTCCCGTGACTATTCCAAGAAGGTAGGGGAGGATGCGCTTCCTAGAGGCTAAAAGGCACTACCCTGCCCTTCGGGATTTTGCACCGCTCTCCTCCCGCCCACCCCCCCCTTCCTTGCAGGAAGCAGTGTGTGTGGCCCAGATGCGGGAGGGCTACTGAGATCCGTCTCACCAGGTGATGGTCTCTGTAGGGAGACAGGCGTGGAGGTGCGTGGCCTGGGCTCAAGTCCCAGCTCTGGTGCTTACTGCTACTAACACCCAGGGTGGTCCATGCGGCCTCTGTGTGCCTTAGTTTTCCACGTGGGAAATGGGAGTAACAACAGTGAGATCACCCAGTGGCTAGGACAAGCAAAGGGCTCACACCTGCACCCCCTTCCCATGAAGTGGTTGTTAAATGGGAGAGAGGATAAAGGGGGCCTGGAGGCTAGCGGGGGGCCTGAGCATCTTTCTGCCTCTCTCCTTCTAGAGTCCTATTTGGGGTTGCAAGATGGTTCTGGCTGAAGTGTTTTGGAGGCTTTTGACCTGAGGGCCTGTGGGACTCCACGGGGGCTCTGGGAAAGCCAGTGGAGTCAGTGTGGGTCCTGAGCAGAGGAGGGTGGGGCGGCCTGCTCAAGGCCAGGGGCTCTGAGGGGAGGTGCACCTGGCTTCTGATGGGGCTCTGCCATTGACTAGCGGCCTCTCTGGGCTCTGGTTTCCAAATCTGGAAAATGTGGTGACCTTACACCAAGTTGGCTCAAGGATTAGAAAGATTAGGCATTTAGTGCAGTGTGCCAAACTGGTATTTATCAGGGAGCTCTTGGCCATACTACTGGAACTGGGAGAGAGGGGAGGAGCTCAGGACTAAAGCCTGGCTTGGGGGAGGGAACCAGAGGGCTCGAGGGCTTCCCGATTGTTTCCCGGGCCCTGCAGCACCCAGGCTTGCTGCAAAGCCCTGCCACAGTTCCGTGGCCCCCAGAGTCAGGGCCTATGATGGAGCGCAGGCCACTTCGGTGCCATTTGTCACTGCAGCCCACCTTGAGTGAGACAAGGAGCTGGGACCGAGGGGACATGCTGGATCGGGGAGTACAGGGGGCTTGTGCTGTGGAGCTGCCGCTGGTTCTATCCTGCCTGGTGTCCTTCTCACAAGCAGAGTTTTTAGGGGAAAGCCCGGTTCCCCAGCCCCCACACGGGGGAAGGGCCCACCCCCAGGACAGCCTGTGGGGGGAGGGGAAGCAGAAGTTGGACAGCTCACTTCCTCCCCTCCCTGGTGCGCACTCAGCACGCTGTACTCCTTTGGGTCTTGACTGGGTTCAGCCCAGAGTAAAGCCAACAGCCCCAGAGGGTGAAATGTGCCCTTCCAGCTGGGCTGGGTGGATGTCTGGGGTTGTCTGGGGTTCACACCTGGGCCCCCAGCCCTGGGAGGAGACAGTGCTTCCGGGTGCCTTGCGGTGGCCAGGGACAGGAGGGAACTTGGGACTCAAGCGCATTCCTCCTTTAGAATCCAGAACACAGCAGTCCGCCATAAGCCCACCCTCTGCTCTCAAATCTCATTGTTCTCATTTTAAAGCAAATTTGGGTAAAATTGACAAGTTTTTTGATCTTCCAAATTCCAGTCTTTGGGTTTAATTGCAAACCTACCCCAAATTTGGGGTGGGTTTAAGATTTGTAACGTGCTTGTCTTGAGCTCTTCTACGCCCTGTCTTGGTTTGACATGAGCTGCTCGGGACCAGGACCACCCTCCCTGCCCTTGTGGGATCCGGCCCCTGGCTGGCACCACCCACTTCTGTCTGGAAGTGACTGGCTGCTCCCCCTGCCCCCACCATGCCCAGGTCTGTCTCTGCCCTCCAGGCCCCCCCCCCCTTGCTGCAGCCCCCTCTCTACCAGGGGGCAAATTTGAGTTCAACTTTAGGAAGAGGCAGGCGAGGCCGAGCTGAACATCCATATGGAGGAAGAGCCGTTTCACCCAGGCTTCCCTTCTGGTCCCCGGCCTCTGAGAGCTGGCAACCCCTTTCTTGGAGCCCAGCTTCGTTTCCTGCTCTTCCAGCAGCTGAGGGCCTGGCTCCTGTTGTGAGCCCAGAGCTGTGTTGAAGAAGGGGATGTGGGAATACCATATGATCTTGCTCATATGTGGAATTTAAGAAACAAAACAAACAAGCAAAGGGAAAAAGGGAAAGAGACAAACCAAGAAACAGATTCTTAATTACAGAGAACAATCTGATGGTGACCAGAGGGGAGGTGGGTGGAGGTTTGGGTTAACTAGGTGATGAGGATGAAGGCGGGTACTTGTTGTGATGAGCACTGGGTGATGTATGGAAGTGTTGAGTCATCACTATATTGTACACTTGAAACATAACACTGGGATAATAAAAATAAAGTTATGCTTACAAAAAAATAAAATCTAATTCCTCCCCAAAAAAAGAAAAAATAAGAAAAAGAGGGGAAAAAAGAGAAGAGGTATGAGAACAGACATCCTGAGGAGAAGCTTCTAGAAGTGTCCAGTGCTATCTCTGGGGGACCAAGTTCTACACTCAGTAGCCAGGAATGTAATCACTTACAGGCCCCTTCAACACAGTGACCTTTCCTTCTGTCTCTGAGCAGGATGACTTCTCAAATGTCAACATCTGCTGTTGCCACCTAGCACTGTGCATGTCAGGTGACTTATAGCCAACTTAGAAGTGGAAATTTCAGACATTTCTGTGTGGTTTGTATAATACTAATAAAAAAGGATCCTAAAACAAAATGCAAAAGGCCCCAGAAAACCCAAACTTTCACAGATCCCCAAACCCGGTTGTGCTTCTTCTTCGTCGGGAAAGCTGGACACCATTCTCAGTACTGTACAGACTCATTTAATCCCTTCCAACAACCCTATCAGGCAGGTAATATTATTGTCCTCATTTATTTTTATTTTTTATGAACAGTTTCATTGAGATATGATTCGCATCCTATAATCCACTGCTTCTTGGTATATGACATTATTATTAACTTTGTAAAATTGTGATAAAACACACATAACATAAAAATGCCCATTTAACCCATTTTAAGCATACAATTCAACGACGTTAATTCCATTTACACTGTTGTGCAGCTGCCACCACTCTCTCCCAAACTTTTCACCCCCCCCAAACAGAAATTGTGTAACTGTTAAGCATATTATCCCCATTTCATAGATGGGAAAACCGAGGCACAGAAAGGTAAGGACACTCGTCCGAAGTTACACAACAAACACGTGGCGGAGCCAGGGTTTGACACAGGTAATTTGGGTGCAGAGCTTGTGTTCTTCATATCCACCCTGCCCTGGGTATCCAATAGCCGCTGATGTGTGCTGAGAGCCCATAGGTGTTCATGCGTTTCTTCAGTCCTTACCGGAGGTCTGCGAAATAGTGATTACTGCCCCTATTTTACAGCTGAAAAAACTGACGCATGGGGAATTTGCCTCAGCACAACCCCAGTGCATGGCAGGCAGAGTTGGAACGTGGGTCCCCCTGACCCCGAGGTTCACACTCTTCCCACCTTGCGGCACACCTTTCACAGCGTCTCGTGGCTTTCCTGCCGCTCTGCCTAGCACCCAGCGCACATTGGGGGCACCAAAGGCCCCTGAGCTGCCCTTGGAGACTGCAGTGGGGAGGGGAGCCTGGCGGTTCCCAGGAGCACTCAGCGAGTCCTGCAGATAGAGGGCAATTCGTGTCAGGGGGAGGAAACTTCATCCCAAAGGCAGGGCCCGGGTTCCTCTTCTAGGTCATGAGAGTCCACAGGCAAAGGCGTACGTAGGGTGAAGCTGGAATTGCTTGTAGGGTTAAGGGATGCAAGTCCTCTCTCATTCCATTCCACAGATAGTCCTTAAGGACCTCCCAGTGTTCCGCGGTAAGGAGGCCATATAGTCTGATCAGTCGGATTAGAGGTTTGCACAAATTGCGAGGGTGGGGTGGTGAAAAGAGAGAAAGATTGTATCTGGACCCAGGAATAATGAAAGGCCTCATCAAAAAGAGTCTTGAGCAATGAAATGGACTTAAAAAGAGGTGATTTTGACAGTTGCAGGAGATGCCGGAGGCTGGACTGGGAAGGTGCACGGAGGAGCGGGAACCGCGCGCAGAAGCGTCCTGGACCCGGCTGGGAAGCTTAACCCGGACGGAGGAGGACCCGGGCGGGGCTGCGCGCGGTGCGTGCGGTGGGCGGGGCCTCTCGGAGCTCCGCCCCCGGCCCGGGGCCGCAGCCTCCTCCCTGGAGCGGTGGTTTTCGGGGCCGCCGAGGAACCTGTCCCTGAGGCCGCGCTCAAGACGGCGCGACCTGTTTTTTGGCCCAGCGGGAAGTGCTGGCGCAGGTGGTCTCGAATGCGTGTTCCTCTTTGCCTCTGATGTCTGGAAGGGGAATTCAGCAGCAAGGACTCCTGTCTGGAGCTCTGACCCCAACTTCCTCAATCCAGGCTCTAGAGAGGCGCCCCTGGCTGAGCCCCGGGGTCCCGCGGGCCGCGCACTCTCTCCCCCTTTCCCTGCTCTGCACCCCAGCCCGCGCTCCGGCCAGGGCGGACGTCCCTCCGTGCCCGCGCCGGCGCTGGCGCTTGTCCCTGTCCCGACCTGGGCTGGCCATCACCCTGCATTGGGTCGGATAGTCGCAAGTCTCTCCCCTCTGAGACCGCTTCTGTTTTAAGACTGCGCATCGCGAGGCGTTCAGTAACTGTTATGGAATGAATAGTGAGTATGTGATGCCCCCGTGCCTCCGCCAGCCAGGCAGAGCGCCCCCTCCTCCCAGCGCCCCCTCTCCCCATGGCCACGACCAGGTGGCAGCACAACCCTCAGGGTGCTTCTCTGAGGCAGGAGCGGTGCCCCCTCCCACCTGGGGGCCCGGCTTCTTGTCTCCCTGTAGGCCCGGGCCGCAAGGTGGCCACATCTCAGGTGTGCTTCCCCTATCCTCAGGCATTCCTATCCCCATGCTGGGTGAGGCCTCAGGTGGAGGAAGAATCAGGAACACTGCAGAGGAAAGACTCTTCCTACAGGTTTGGGCGGGGCTGGGGGAGTTGGGGGCTTGCTCTGAACCCCAAGACTGCGCTGGCCCCAGCTTCTCCATGTTCCTCGCCTGGGTAGCCTACTCCCTGCCCTCTGAACGTGAGCAGGTGGTCACCGATGGAATCTGTGATTGGGACAGTGCCCTGTCTCTCAGGCTTGTGGAAAGCAGCTTCTTTGACTTCTTAATCTTCCTGGAAAATGGCCCCAATTTTCTGGAAGAAGGAAGGAGGATCTGGTTCTGGGAACATTCTCGCTTCTTCTCATCGCAGATGCCACTCACTCAGTTGCATGTGAAGGCTGGGGCATCTGTGGTCAGCACTGGCTGAGGCCCGTGGTCCCAGCCCTGGCTTTCAGCGGCTCTGTGCGGACCTGCCTGCTCTCTCATGCCTGTCCTATGTCAAGGATGGCCCTGCCCCCACTCAGAGGCAGGTCAGGAAGGCCTGTGAGGGCCCTGGAGGCTTCCTGAGGAGCTCTGTTGTACTGTAAATGGCAGTCCCGCTGCTTGGTCCCAGGACCCAGCTCCCTTGGGCTCCCCGGCGGTGGGGGGCTGACCACCTGCTGCCCCTCTTTCTGCCACTGTGCCCTTTCTCTGTGTGGCCTCTCTGGCCAGGCCTGCTGAGCAGGGAAGCACGAAGAGGCTAAGGGCAGGAGGAGGCTGGGGCCTTGCCACCTCTGGCCAGTGGCTCTCTGGGTCTGGGACCCCATGTGACTAAGGAGGATGAGTGTCAGTGGATTCATTTGGTGTCAGAAAAAGCAGGCGCTCTGGCCCTTTTCCGGAGGTGGTGGGACCCTCTCTCAGTCTTTCCCTCCAGCAGTGCCCCTGGCCGTGGTGTTCTCCATGCTTCCCACCAGGGTGTCCTCATTCTGGAGGGCCATCGGGAGCTCTCATGGAACCCTGGGTTGGACGGTGTCTCAGGGACCCCGGTGCACTTCATCTGAGCCCTTTGTGCAAACACCGCCCCTGGCAGGCGGTGTCCATGGGCGAGCTGCCGAGGCACCTGGGCTCTGTCACGAGTCCCCAGCAAGACGCAGGCCCTTGTTTCTGTATCTGGCTGCCGGCGGGCTGTGCCGACGTCGTCACATGGCTGCATGATCCTCACGGGCTGTGTTTGCATTTTCTGACACTGCATCTAGCACTGAGCATACTGCACACGTACCGGATGCTCAGCAAGCGGGTGTCCCTTCCTCCGGCTGCTGCCCGTCAGCCCTCTCGCCAGCCTGGGCGCTGGGCCGTGACCGGGCTTCCGTCACTCTGTCTGTTTAAGGGCTACTCAGTCCGCCCAGCACGCTCCCTCTGCTTGAAGAGCTGAGTTCCCCGAGCATCTCTCACAGACCCCTCTCACCTCCTCTCCTGCCCCTCCTGGCATTCCCATCACAAAGGGCTGCCCCAGCTCCTCACACACACACAGAGGTGCTGCAGTTTCCAGAAGGATCCTGGGGCACGAAGAACCCACCCAGCAGTCAGTCTGCCCCACCACCTTGCTGGCCATTTCCTGGCCTCCCTGGGCCTTCTTTCCACATGCACAGCTCTTGGGAACCCCTGCTCTTCCCTGTCAGAGGGGAAGGCCTCACTCACCCCCACCTCAGTGACCCCAGGACAGCTTTGTTCCCCCTGCCTCAGCAGCTCTCCCCACCTCCAGTAGGGTCAGCAGATTCTCCTTTGCCTGTTGGGCCCCCGGCTCCGGGCCACATGATCCGCAGCCCCGTCACAGCTACGCAACTCTGTTCTGCTGCAACCTATGACCTTGTTCTCTAAGGCCTTAAGGTTTTTCTCATTTGCCCCAGAGTTACCTAAAGGGCTGAAGGGCGGTGGGCAGCCCCCACCCCCCCGAGGGTCAGGGCATGATCTGGTAGCAGAAGGTTCCTTCAAGGGAACATCATGAAAAATTTCTGATTTTCATATGGTCACAGGGCAAAACGAAACTGTAATTGCTTCGTACGGTATCCCACTAATCTAGTGGATTGTTATATTCTCTTATGAAAAACGTTTGACAGTGCCTCTAGGGGTAAGATTAGAGCATGTGTTGGGGGAGCACGATGGGTGCCTGTTGTCACGGGATGTGCCAAATCGCATGCCGCCCTTTCCCCCACCTACCCCAGTTCCCTGAACGCTGAGACTCATTGAAAGTCACAACTGCGTTTTCTCGTGCTTGCTTCGGCAGCACATATACTAAAATTGGGACAATACAGAGAAGATTAGCATGGCCCCTGCGCAAGGATGACCTGCAAATTCACAAAGTGTTCCTTCCGAGCGTGGACGCTGGATCCAGTGTAATCACACATTGGTTATATAAGTTCAATTTCTTGAGCACCTACTCTCTGCCGGGCACCCTGCTAGGTGGTCTGTGGGGAGTTGAAATGAACAGGGCAGAGACACAGACGACCCTCACCCTCTTTGATGTCAGTTTAAATCCCAAATCTGCCATTTACCATGTAACCTTGGGCAGTTCAGTGAATGTTTCTGAGCTTCAGTGCTGTTATCTATCAAATGAGGTTGGGACTTCCCGCCTTTCGCACTTGCCTGCCATATAGCAGGTGCTCAATAAATGGCCACTATTTTTCTTCCAGGCCGTGGGGTGTCCTCTTTCTTCTTACATGGAAATTGCCCGTTGGCTCTGGAGTCAGCTGGCTGTCCTGAGCTTTTGAGTCCCTTGGAAGGATTCTGGGGAGTTGGCCGATTGGCTGCAGGTACTTGCCAGGCTGGCGGCCATGCGGAGTGACCCGGAGTTGGAGTTGTCGCTATGTCCTGTTCTCATTTCTGTTTCTCTGCGTGCTTTGTAATTGGGCCACTCTTTCAGTCAGCTAGAGACGCTAATGACCTTGAGAAAGGATCCCAGCCCTGAATATAGAATCCTGCTCTTTTGAAGTCACCCACTTTCTTTGTGGGTCTCGACGTGTGTGTGTGTTTTCCCTTGTGGGCATGCCTTCCCTTCCGCTTTGATGTTGCCTCAGTAACAACAGGGTTCAGAATTATTAATTCCTACTGCGCAGTGAGGTGCAGTTTTATTACACAGAAAGGGGGAAAATATAATTGCTGTCTTGAGTAATCATTTTCTGAAGGCTGCGAGCATAACCTTTCATTAATATTTCATTTGCGGCCAGGGTGGGTAACTGGGATAGGCCTAAAAATATTGTTGTCCCCTATGCATGGAGAGATCACGAGCTGGGGGACCTGGGGCCAGTGTGTGCTCTACAGTTGTGTGCAATTATCTCTAAAATTAAAGATGTTTAACCCATTAGCCCGTAAGAAAGTGGAGGAGAGGTTTATAGCGACACAGCTCTTTACTGAGTAGGGTAAAGGTGCAAATCCCAGGCAGAACCCATCTCAGCCCCTCCACTGGGGAAGCCATGTCACCGGCCCCTGCAATGGATTTGGGGCATGGGGTCTGGGGGGCCAGTGGCTCCCTAGTCAAAGCCGAGCTCCCGGGTCACGGGGATGGACATTCATAGGTCACTTGGTTGAAGGATGCCATGGGAAATGCTGTGGTCTTTGATGTTCTCTGGAGTGAGGCCCTTGAAGTGTTCAAAGTGTCTCTAGGGAGAGGGCCGAAGGCTGATTCCCGGACTGGGAACCCGGGAGACTCTGCTCATGGGGCAGGGAGGCAGGCCACTGGGGAGGTGGGGAGCAGAGCCTTTGGTGACTAACAGCGATTCTGGATTCTGATGAGCTTCCTTCCCAGTCCTGGGGAGTCCGGCTGGGTGGGGACCCAGGGCTGGCTCCTGGGCGGGGGGTGACTAAAGGCCCCACTTTTCATATCCTCACACTATTTCACAGACATGAGCCCATCTGACTATGGGAACAGCCTCCTGAGACCTGTGGGAATGTGGTGACATCAGCCGTTACCCCACTGGCTGGTCAACTTTATCTCATGGGATCCTCTGACAACCCTCGAGGAAAGAGATGCTCCCTTACAGAGGAGGAGGCTGGGACTTCCGGCTCAAGTTACTGATTCCCGAGGTCACCTGGCCTAGGTGAGCTGGGATTAGTCAGTGGCCTGCCTGGGTGCAGGTGACCGTGGATCCTGGCATGGGTGTGGACTGCTCAGCGTCTGGTGACCATGGCGGGCGGATGTGTGAGGCCCACTGCATTGTGTGCTTTTGCCCGCCAGGCCTCCCTTCCTGTTTGCATCTGCAGGGGTCCCGACTCCTAACCCAGGGCGCATCCACGTGAAGAGAAAGATCGCTAAATCGTATAAGCACCATTGGGATTTTTAAGAATATCCCTGCTCAACCCCGGAGTTGCTGTGTTTCTGTGTTCTTGGGCTTACTGTGTTTTCCTAGAAAAATAAGTAAAAAAACATTGGCCAGTAGGTTTATTGCCATATATCATTAGTGACAAAGGGGGTTGTCTTAGTTATTAATCATCTGGGGATTTCTAGACGTGCTCACATTTGTGCCCAAAGACGTGGTGTTGTCAGGGGTTCTCTCTTCAGGAGAAAGGCCACAGGGTGGGGAAGCCCTGAGACTGAGTTGGGGGCCGTGGGGGAGGCTGGAGAGAGAGGCATGGGGACTTAAGGAGCAGCTGTGAGATTCAGTGTTTCTTTTTCTCAGGACCTGGAGCAGGGAGGAAGATGGCAGGACAGAGGCTGATGGTGACCCCTCCATGCCAGGCGCTCTCGGGTGGTCTCGTGTGACCTGCTGGCTGGGTGTCCTATTCTACACACAGGGAAATGGAAGTCCTCCCACAAAACAACACCCGGGTGCCAGGTGAGTGCACAGAGCAGGATTTGAACCCAGGTCCTGTCCTCGCCAGCCCAGGGGAGAGCTGACCCAGCAGAACAAAGCGGTGGCCCCGGCCTCTCCTTCCGCCTGACACATCCACCGTCCTCCCTTTGTTCCATGCTTCTGTGACTCTGCTCCTGCCAGATCCATACCCGCTAATAAAACCACTTCTAAAGAGGTTTCAACAGGGGCTGCATTTTGTTTATTTCCCCTTACTCATTCCATTTCCCAAACAGTATAAGGTATTGCTTACAGAAAGCTTGAGTTTTCCTTCCCTGATCCCATGCCCCGAAGTGATTGCAGCTCAGGACCTGGTGTGCGGGGCACCAGACTTTGTTTCTAGGCAAATAGGAACCTCTAAAGATATGGGTAGATATCTACACACGGAGAACTTTTCATTTATACAGAATGAGTACCTATAAGCAGAGTCATTATAGCAATACTTATAAAAGCCAAAGACTGGAAAAACCTGCAATAAAATCGCCGGAGTAGGGCTTCAGCTGGATCTATGAAACAGCCCTCAATGGAATTATTGTGTGGCTGTTCGGAAAAGAACCGTCCACGTACAGCCATGAGAGCTGCTTACAATATGTCATTAAATAAAAAAAGTGACGGGCCAATCATATGCATCATGTGGACACACTTAACTTCCGTGGCAGCTTCACACAGATGCACCGCTGGTGAGGGCAGCCCCCGCAGATGCAGCCGAGAATTCTCTGTGCGGCGTTGACAGCAGCGAGAAGCTAAGCTGCCTGTGACACTGGGACGCCTCCAGAGAGCCATGGCCACCCCAGAGGAAGTTACTTGCTGCCATGTGCAGGGGAAGTCCTGTGGTAAATGCTCCAGCAGGGGTGGCGGGGGAGGGGCTGCAGGCGGGGAGACTGTGATGACCCCAATTTTGAACTGGAGCCTTCCTGGGGGGCAGCGCCTCAGAACTGTTCAAATGATTGCACCGATGCACTTCATTTCTACACAGGCAGAAACCCAGGCCCAGAGAGGGAAGGTGATGTGTCTGAGGTCACACAGCAAGGTCATGGTGGGGCTTAGCAGGCTCCCCAGGACCCTCTGGGCGGGACTCTGGACCCTGTACCGGGGTGGGGGTGGACTGGGGCTGCGCCAGCCTCCGCACGTGCCTGTTCTCTTCTCCTTAGGGTCATCTCAACTTTCCTTTTCTCTCTCTTCTTCCTCCTTCTGCCTGCAACCCCCTCAGTTTGGTCTACACACTCCCTGTCAGAGTTGACGAACTTGGGGCAACTTGGTGAAAACCCTGGGTGAGAATCTGGTTTGATGCATTCTCCTTGGAACCCTTGGATGTCCCTGGTATGTGCTGTGTGCACGTGTGTGTGAGCACGAGTGGTGTGTGGGGTGCAGGCGTGTGTGTGGTTTGTGTGCAGGTGTGGCGTGTGCATTCGTGTGAGTGTGCACGTGTATGTGAGCACACGTGTGCTGGGTGTTCGAGGAGACGGGGTGACCCCTAACCACAGGAGTGTTTGAACTGACCCGGGAGCGGGGCCAGCCCCAGGCTGCCATGTGCCCCTTTCTGCAGCTGCCGGTGGGGAGACGTGTCGCACCAGGGCCAGTCCCTCCCAGCAGAGCCTGGGACTCCGGGTTAGGAGAGGCAAGCTCTCAGAAATAGTAAACCACTGTTTTCTTGCCGGCTGTTTGCCCTTATTAATTCAGGTAGCAATTACCCATTCCGAATATTTGGCGACTAATTAGTTTTTCCTGTGGAGAAGGCAGAATGAGGAATGTTTTGCTCTGACCCGATCCACTTTCTCAGTTTCCCGAGGAGGGGGCTCAGGGCACGGAAGGAGGGAAGAGGCAGAGGGTGAAAGAAACCTGCCCAATGCCTGGGATGCCCCTTTAGCTGTCAGGTCTCCGCTGCGAGTCTGGAGCATGATAAAAATAACCCGCCCGATGTTGGTTTTGTTCTTGCTTTCATGTTGCCTGGCCCGTTTCCCCTGTGGGTGCCGCTCCCGGCGGTTTGCCTGATCATGTGGTGTTGGTGTCAGAGCAAAAGTCCCAGGCTGCTGGCTGAGCTGGGGTCCCCCTTTGGAGTCGTGCCCTCTGAACCCACCAGGTGACCAGGGACCCTGAGTGCAGGGGCAGCGTACTTGGTGAGAGGACAGGCACAGGCTTGGGGGGCTGGGAGGCCAAGGGGCACACCGTTCGGGGGGACAGGTTGGAAGAGACAGCCAGGGGTCCTGTCTGCCTGAGCTCAGCTGTGAGTTGACTTGGAGATGGTTTCTTAACCTCGAAGCCCCTTAGTCAACATCTGGCCTTGATTCGCCTTTTTAGTGCTTGAACCTTTTGCTCCTGGGGGTCTAGTTGTCCGGGACGTTACTGATCATAGAGGAGCCTCTCAGAAAGGGTTCCAGGAGGTAGGATGGTTTGCACCTCAAGTCTGAGCAGCCTCCTGAATTGGAACACCCCACAGGCATGGGTCTATTTTGGGGAAGTGGTTAATAGGTAAGTCAAACAAACATTGCTCTACCTTTTCTGGGGACTGGGGAGCAGGGGGGCTCAGGCCGTGGGGAGCTGGACCCAGAGCTGGGCACTGCAGCCCTGCTGACCAGAATGGGGCAGTGGGGGGCTTCCTCTGAGCCCCTTGTGTGCTTGCTGCCCGCAGGGACACGCAGGGCTCTGTGAGATCCTGGCTTTGTGTCCAGCACCGTTGTGGTCTCTGTCTCTGCAGGGCACTCTCCACCCGCCTCTCGTTTCAAATGAAAATTTCTGACCGTGGTTGGAAGGCCTCCCGGCCACCTTCTTCCTGGAGCCGTGTGGTGGGGCCTGCTCTTGGCTCGGCCTGCTGCCGGACTTCCTCGTCCTCTGTGGCCACCCTTACAGACCAGTGCCCGCTGGCTGGCTGCACCCCCCCACCCCCCACACCACCCAGCTGCAGAGGCCTCCTTCAGCCTCACCAGGCCCCTGACTGCTCTGCACGTGCCTGTCTGTCTGACACAGCTGGGCCAGCCCTGCTGATGTGGGGATTTGGCTCCGGTCACTCGCACAGTTGCACTGCTTGCCCTATAACTTACTGCAGCTCAAGGCCACGGACCTTGTCTTCTGGTATTTGGGGTTTCCCCGGGGTGCCACGGCTTGTGCTCTGTGCTGGAGGGTGGCCGCTGACTGGCGACACATTCGGGCTGGTTTCTCCCAGCTATGGTGGCTGCAGGTCCTGTTTGGATAGGCTCAGGGAAGGTGCCAGGGCCCTGGAGTCAGGCCTGGCTCTGAGTCCCGGTTCTTCCAGTTGGGCGTGACCTTGGGCAGCTTCCGTCATCTATTTGGGCACCGCTTCCCGCATGATGCCCGAGTCTTTGGTGTATGCTGCCCGCATAGTTGGTGCCAGAAGGAGCCAGACCCTCAGGGTTCCCAGGGGGTGGCCTCCCCGGCACAGTTCACATACAGCCCAGACAAGTGGCCTTGGGGTCTCCCTTTAATGCCCCAGGAGTCTGTGGGGAACAGAGCATTCCTGCCTCCTCCTTGGATCTAAGAGAGCACCCCCCTTCCCCCCCCCCACTGCCTTGGCTGGGATTTGGGTCAAGGCCCCTCCCAGATGGGTCCCAGTTTACCTGCAGGGCTGCATTTAAATCAGCTCCCACACCGAATTTCTAGGCTGGGACATGAGGTGGCTTTGGGACCCAGTCCAGCCGCCCTGATGGCTACAGACGGGTTCCTCCGGGGTGTGAAGCTTCAGACACAATCCCTTCAGCTGTCTTGGGAAATGCAAAAACACCAGGTGCAGTCCTGTCGGTTAGAGTTTCCATTTACATTACCTGGGGCTTTTCTGTCCAGCCTCCCCCGCCCCCTCTTGCAGCCAGGACTTCACTGTTCCCAGGTCACAACCACCCGAGGAATGTGCCAGTCAGCGAGGCCGGGCTGCTCACTGTGGGCGGATGCACCTGTCACAGGGACTGTTCGCCCCAAAAGGCAGGGCGACACAGCAGCTTTGGAGGGAGGGGTCCTTGGTCCAGATCCCTCTCATTACCTGGGTGGCCTTGGGAAAGGCCTCTGAGCATGGAGACTGTCATGCTTCCTTGGCTGTGGGGTGAGGATGAGGTAAGCTAAGGAACACAGTGGGTCTGGCATAGGGCTTGAGAAGTGACAGCTGAGAGTGAGAACAGCAACCACCTGTGGCAGGCTTCCTATCTCCCACCCTGTGGGGCGCTTGCGAGTGTCACCTCATCTGGATGGCACAGTAATCTTACAATGTAGAAAGCCTGATTACCCCCATTTTACTGATGGGGAAACTGAGGCATGGAGGAGTGAAGTAAGGTGCCCAAGGTCACCGAGCTGGTAAGAGGCAGAAGCCCGCATTTGTACCCAGGCAGTCGAACTCCAGGGCCTGTGCTGGCCCCAGTCCCCATTCTATGCAGGATGTCACCACCCTTGGAGGCTGCTGGCCGGTGTAGCTCTCCAGGCTGCACAGCCGTGGTCCAGGGCCCTCCGCAGCTCCTGTCTCTTGAAGTCCCCAGTGGGCGTCGGTGGCTGGCATGACCTGCCCAGGCCCCCGTGCCGTGGTTGGCTAAAGCCCCTTGGCAGCCCTGGGAAGGCCAGCTCCAGATCCTGCCGCCCCACCTGCAGGCGGGCTGGACTGGGGAGAGCCAGAAGAAGCTGCTCTCCTCCAGCTCTGACATTCCTAACTGCGGACCTTGATTTTGTCACTAATAAGAGTAAGACAGAGTGGCTACTATTATTATGGAGGCTATTCTTTAAAAACTTTTTAAAGACTTTATTTTTAGAGCAGTTGTAGGTTCACAGCACCATTAGGAGGAAGGTACAGAGAGTTCCCCTATACCTCCCGCCCCCACACAGGCACAGCCTCCCCGTTAACAACAGCCCCCTCCAGAGTGGGACGTTTGTTACGGTTGGCGAACCTACAGTGACACGTCGTCATCAGCATCACCCAAAGTCCACGGCTGACATCACGGTCTTCTCTTAGTGTGTGTGTTCTGTGGGTTTGGACCAATGCACAGGGGCATGTGTCCACCATTATCATATATACAGAGTAGTTTCCCGGCCCTAAAAACCCTCCGTGCTCTGCCTATCATCCCGCCCCTCTTCCCTCCATAACCTTGGGCAACCACTGATCTCCTTATTGTCTCCGTAGTTTTGCCTTTTCAAGAATGTCATATGGTTGGAATTCTGCAGTATGTGGTCATTCCAGATTGGATTAATTCACCTAGAAATACGCATTTAGGTTTCCTCCATGTCTTTTCCTGGCTCGTAGCTCATTTCTTTTTAGTGCTGAATAATATTCCATTGCCTGGATGTTTCACAGTTTATCCGCTCACGTGCTGAAGGACATCTTGGGTGCTTCCACGTTTTGGCAATTAGGAATAAAGCTGCTATACACATCCGAGTGCAGGTTTTCATGTGGATGTAAGTCTTCAACTCCTTTGGGTAAATACTAAGGAGCATGACTGCTGGATCATATGGTAACAGTAGGGTTTAGTTTTGTAAGAAACTGCCAAACCGTCTTGCAAAGTGGCTGCACATTCTGCATTCCCGCCAGTGACGCATGAGCATTCCTGTGGCTCCCTGTCCTCCCCAACACTTGGTGTTGGCAGGGTTCCAGGTTTTGGCCAAGCTGATAGGTGTGTAGTGGTATCTCCCTGTGGATTTAACGGGTGTTAGCGTTCCTTTTTAGCCTCACCTAGATCCCCCTGCTGTTTCTTTCTATGCTTTGTTGTTTATTCAACAAACCTTTCTGGAGAACCTTGTCCTTTTAAGTGTGGGGGTCCACGAGCATGACTCAGCGCTTGCGCATTGCCTGTTAGAAGCCTCACCTCGTGCCTTGTGCGCATGTGTGTTGCATGCATGCTACGTAGTTCTAGGTTGTAGGAGTGACATGGCTCCGAAGAGGGACTCTGGCAGAGGTACTGGGAGAGACGGGGGGGCACACATCACTGTGGCATTTGGCTGCTCCTTTAGGGTCCGGGCAGGGACCCCTCCTGCCTGTTCTCGGCTTGTTCTCAGCCCAGCAAAGTGCCTGAGCTGCGGTGGACACTCAGGACATGTTTGTTGAATGAATAAGAGGAAATCAAAGAAGGGATCCTAGAGGAGGTGGCTTTTAAGCTGGGGGAGAGAAGAGGGGGGGAAGGGCAGGTGCCAGGCTCAGAGTCGTGGAAATGCATGTAGCTTGCAAACTCGAATCAAGCAAGAGTTCTGGTTGGGCTTTGTTTTGTCACAAGCTGTGTGTTTGGGGCAAGTGAGTTCCTGGAGGAAAGTAGTAAAAATCCATCTGTTTGTTCGATAAACATTTCCTTGCCATCTAGCCCGTCGATGCCAAGTGAAGGCTAACGAGGCTGTGGGCAGCGCTGGCAGGCTGCTGGGGGAA